TTGTAATGTAACTTTTGCAGAGGGCGGTAATACCCCATTTCCAGTGTAATTCTTTCAATCACGTTGAGAATTTATGAAATCGGTATATAATGGAAACTTAGACATTTTATCATGATTAGTGGACCACAATGTACAAGGGGCAATTGCCTCATAGCCGAGGTGACTCTGCCCGACCAGTAGAGTTGATGAATTGTTCAACTCCAGACTTTTAGCCGAAGAAAATTTGCCCGTCTAAAAGAGTTGATGGTTTGTTCAACTCCAAGTTTTTGGCCGAGGTGTTTTGCCCAGCTAAATAAGTTAATGACTTGTTCAACCCCAAGTTTTTAGCTGAGGTGTTTTGCCCGGCTAAATGAGTTGATGATTTGTTCAACTCCAAGTTCTTAGCCGAGTCGTTTTGCTCGACCGAAGGAGTTGATGACTTGTCCAACTCCACCGGCTAAAGCATTTGATGACTTATTCAACTCCAAGCTGTAGCCGGGGTATTTGCACGGCTAAAAGATTTCATGTATCGTCGAGGTGCCTTGCCCGATTATATGAATAGATGCTTTGTTCAAGAATATTGCACGGTTGGAAAGAAGGAACACAATGTAATAGCGAGTCACAAAAGTTGCATAACTTTTTCATTGATTGGGGATTGCAAATACAGGAGTTAGGGCTAGTTGCCCGGTTACAAACAGTCCAAAAGAAAAACAAATGAAAATACAAGGCTAAGCTAAAGGAGGGGGGAGAGATTAGCGAAGGCGTCTCCAGTTCCAGCGCTGGTTTTCTCAAGATCAACCACGGCAGCCACTTCGCAGTGCTCCTTTTGACTGGTCGCATTTTGGCCGCCTCCTTCCTCGGCTTCTTCCTTGGCATCCTCATCGGCTTTCTCTTGCAACGAATTGAAAACGTCATTAGCATATGGCACCATGTAGACCGGCAGGAAGGCAAGAGGAGGAGAGGTGAACACCTCAGTTTCAGATCCCTAACCAAGTCGCTCACAAGCCGCCTTCCAACTGGACTTGAAGAAGATGTCCTTGGTGGCTTTAACTTGCTTAGTGTAGCTCTCCTCAGCCTCCTTGAAGCCGAGATTATTGGCCTCGTCCACATCTTTCTGTCTCACCTTCTTCACATCCTCTAGCTTGGCCTTCCGGGCGTCTCGCTCTTACTTGGCCCTGTCGAGCTGTCTGAGGAGCCTCGTGTTGTTAGCATTTGCAATCTCGAGCGAAGCTTTAGTTTGGCCCAACTCGGCCGAGACATTCTTCCGGGCAGCATTTAGGTCGGTCACTTTTTGCCGCAAATTGATAATGCGGTCCATGACGAGATGTTGTTTTTGAATAGCCTGCAAGAAATCAAAAGTTAGCCTAAGCAAGCAACAAACTGAGCAAACAATTAGCAAAATTTCGAATTTGAAAATCTTACCCTCGTTATTGATTTCACTGCGGACTTGACAAGCCAGGTGTCTGGAACATGTTCGGTCCCTACCATATCCTCTGGTAGTAGTAAGGACTTGGAGAGATCGAAGGCAAGTAGATGCTCCTTATCCCCCTTCACAGAAGCATTAGCCGGGATGGGACCTCCTCGGGATTTCAACCTCGGCTGTCATGCCGAAACCGACTTGACTTCGGTCACCACGTGCTCAGCATTGAGTTTGACCTCCAACTCAACTGAGAGATCAATCGAGTGGGCCCGTTTACTAGTCCGGCGTTTCTCGGCGTTTGGAACGGCCGTGGAAGCCAAGGTAATCACAGTCCCTGAGCTTTAGCCAGCGGTCGATGTAGGACATGGGTTGCTCGATAGCTCGGTGGAAGTGGCGGTGATTAAGTTCTTAATTCGACTCTTCTTTGCCATTTCTTACTCCTCTATCAACCAAATTAAGGGCATGTGAGGCAAAGTTGGGTTAGGTGAAGGAGAAGGCACCCAAAGGAAGTTGGTAACCTTGCTCTTCTGTGGTGCTGAATATCGGTAGCTCGGTACGTAGCCAAAAAGCTCATGGCAATCTCGGTGCCAATATCTTAATGCGGCCCTGATCGCCTCTTCGTTTGGATAAAGATAATTGGCTTATAACTCTTCAATAACTGCAAAAGGAAGGTAATTAGCTCAGTACAATGAATATTGACAAAGTGAATTAACTAGGAAGCTTGGCTTACAAGAAGCACCGAAGTTCTTGCTAATGTACCAACCGGGCACGTCAGCTATCTCATAGTTACCGAACACCCAGAAAAAATCATCATCATGTATGTCCTTGTTCGATGTACCGGTTACTAGACGTTCTCTGCCCAGTCATATTTTCAAATAATAGTTGTAGCCATCTTTCGTACGACTGAGCATATATTGACGCAAAATTTTGACCAAACCCAACTGTAATCCTAGTCGATTGTTCAGCTTGGCCACTCCGTTTATGATCTTATAAGTGTTGGTCGATACATGTGTGGGAGCTAGCTCGGTGCGTCTCAAAAATTCACAAATCAATGGTTGCATGGGAAAATGCAGCCCCCCCCCTCGATTATACTCAGCATGGTAAATGGGGCAAGACTCCAATCTGCCCTATGGGTCTATGTCCTCCTCACTGAGCTCTAAATGCACATCGGCTAGGACACCATATTCCTCTTGAAATGCGGCCAAAGCGACCGACGTGTTTATAAGGAAGCGATAGCGCCCCATAATAAGCCAGATCGATTTTTCTCAGCAAAGTTGAGTTGTGCACGATGGTTGCTCGGTCTTTGAGAGCCCTTGTGCTAGTGTGCCTGGCCTCCTAGGATTCTGCAATTAAAAACCAAGTATAAGTGATAACTCGATCGCGCAAATGAGCTGGAGTTTAGCTCAGTCACTATGGGCGCAGTAGCACTTTGGTCGCCCGAGCGAACCAGATATTAGCCTGGTCGAGCGACCTAATGCATCTACTAGCTCAATTTTCTTCCCCCTAAGTTCTGCGAACAAGAAACTTGCTGGGCCATGTCATGATTTTGGATCAAACAGAGGTTTGTAGCCTGGTCTGTCCCAGATTCCCACATGTTCATCACAGAAGATGATGAACAGTGTCGGAGACGAGGGACGAAGATACTTTTCGACATCAAAATGGGTCAAAACCCTAACCTAATCCAGTTTTTGGTAATGTCTGGTTGTTTTAATCTTCCTCAATGGACGGATATGTGAGTTATAGTTCAAGAACACGAAGAACAAGAAGAAAGAGAAACTGTAGCAGGGGAACATGAAGAACACACCAAATGAGGGCCACAATCAACGCTCCAATCGGAAGAAAGTACTCGACAACGACGACAAGACCGAATCCGCTCGAGGGAATGCTCCAATTCGAGTACAGTGAACAGAAATTGGAGATTGGATGCTCTGACTTGCTGGGTCGTTTGAGAAGAAGATGAATAGTAGAGGTTGAGATATGAAGAGATGTGTGATATATGGGTATGAGTTGTATAAGCACCAAAGTTTGAATCTAAGGAGACAACACATAACAGCTGGATAGCAGTACGAGGCTAATCAGTGAACGCCGCGTGTCTATGATGAAACCGGTGCCAGTCTCGAAAAGACAGGCTGAAAACCCAAATCATTAACCGGGCAAGCTATATGACCGAGCGTGCTAACTAGCACGGTTAAAGGTGGTGAACCGACCTGGGAGCACGGGTACTTAGGTGTGAAGCCAGGCAGATGACGATCGAGCAAAGAAATAAGCTCGGCTACTGAATGTAATCCTGGTCACGTTAGCGCAGATGGAATTAAGGGTCAATTAAGAGGGAGATTCATAGCCTGCTGTAAGTTGAGCTAGTTTGGGCCTTAGTTGAGGCATGTGCTCCGAAAAAACAAGCCCACACGATCGAGCGAGATTTGAGCACGGTCAGGCGCATGGCATGTGTTAGGGCGGGATATCAGCCTGGTCTTGCAAAGTGAGTTTGAGGTACTGGCATGACTCAGAAATGTGCGCCGTGTGAGTCCGACGGAGTTCGTCCACAGAAGACTAGATGCAACCGAACAGGAGCTCAGTCGTGACCGTGGAGCTCAGTTGAGCCAATACTCAGGCCTAGCCGACAAGGCCAGATCGGTAGAGCAGTCCTGAAGGAAGGGCATGGCGTCGCGCTAAGCATAGCTCGGTAGTAAACGCTATGCGGCGCACTGAGGCCGCGAAAAGAAGATTTCGTCGTCTGCACGCGTTAATACCGTTTGGTGATTTCATCATTTGATGTTTAGTTGTATTAGCGCTGACACGTAGGAGAACGTAAAAGAAGAGCAGGTCCACGCATCCAAATGGGGATGGACGCAAAGACGCGTGCAAAAACTATATAAACGGTGTTATGCCTCCATACACAGGCCTGGAAAATCTTGTGATCAGAGCTCACCTACCACTTTGTCTCCTCTCTCTCTCTTTTTCTCTTCCTTGCTACGAGTGCTAACTTGACCGTCAGAGAGGGTTTTCAGCAACACACCCATCGGGTAGCTCACCGTCATTGTGTTCTCAAGTTATTCGAAGTGAAGTTTGGACACGAAGAGTACGAATAGCGACGAATATTTGCTCCATGTACATATATATAGTAAATCTCATAAATATGATATAATTACATTATTTTTTTAGAAATAGTAAAACAAATGTATATAATGTCTGTATTGAGATGATAATATCATTTTTTATCCATAATACTAGCAGCACGATTGATGGTAAAGGAACAAAATGTTAGGAAAACTTAAACCTTGAGGGAGCAAAGTGTTTATCTGACAATTTTCTTGTGACAAAAAAATAAAAATAATATGTATGTATTAATAATATAAAAAGAAGAAAAAAAACTAACATTGTCATATTGGTCAATGAATCAATTGTTATGCAAGAAATGTATTTTGTAATGAGTCAACTACGAACACCACATGAAATATCCTAATTTCACTATTTATTTACAATGGTAGTGGAAACGAAGCATAGGACCCTCATTATTATGAACAAAGAATAAAATTTTGATGTTTTAATTAGTAGGAGGGGAGTACTATCTTTAATAAAAGAAATAGTACGAGGGGAGTCATTGTTTTGTAATTTGTAAATTAAAATATGCAACAGTACTGCCTACATATGGATGGAAAACACATGTTCCTTCTAAGTTCTAGCACAGAAACTTTTCAATGAAATTACAAAGTTACTACCAAAAGCTACCTAAAGACATTACAACAAAAACAATCAAACACTAAATACAAACATAAAATGATTACATGAATCTACTGTTTTTTTCCTTTGCAAACAGGCTAGGGATTGAAATGAAAAACAAATTCCCTGACCAACTTCAAACCCTGAACTCAACAAGCATACTGACAAAACTTTCCAATCTGCTGTGCATGAAATAAACCATAAAAAATGAAAAAAATACAAAACAAAAAACAAAATATAGGCAAAACTAAAATCTTGGAATCCATTACTAATACCGTTTCCCAAGAATTATGCCAATGATCACGGACACCAGGGCCACGCCTAACATGAACTTCAAGGTCATGATGGGAGAACCCTCAGTGGATTGAGCATGGGTCCCCGAGGACGGTATTTCTGCAGATGCAGCTTCTAGTTTTTTCTTACTCTTCCGTTTTGATGGAGTTGAAATTGTTGATCCAATATCTCTAGATTTCAATTCAATTGGACTGCCTCCACCATCATTCTGCAATACAATATGTTTCAGTTTAGATTTTGACTGAAGAACTAATCTCAAATGTAAGACTGATTTAAAACGGATATAGAAACATCATTAACAAGTTCGGCAGCATTCGACTAGATGATGGCTGGTATTATTTTTGTTATGCATTAATGACAAGCTCATTTATCTCAGGATGCAATCTTTTTTTCCCATAATTAAAATATAAAAGGTCCATTCACCTATCTATCCTCGTCTCCAACTCAGCAAATGACGATGGATTTGCCAAAATCCACCATGTTGCTGCATGGTCCTGTGAATGGCCGATATGTAAACATGCCAATCAAGCCTCTTGCTTATATTGAAATAATGCTCCTTCTCACCAAAGTTTTATAAAGGCGAATGCAAAATGCAAGGCGTTTTACCCCTCATGAGGCAAGATGTAAGCCTCAAGGCTTCAAGGCACAAGCATTTCAAATTTCAATTTTTATATGTAGCAAATAAATAAAATATTTTTAAAATACCAAAAACTATTAAAAATTAAATATAAAGGTCAAAATGACATTCTTAGTTTCAGTTATTGAGCTTCTCACTTGAGCTTTAGCTTTGTATTTACGTATTTATTTTTGGTTGGTCATTTACTTGATTTTTCTCATTTAATATAATTACAAAAGAGGATTTATATATATATATATATATATATATATTTAAATCATGTATTAGACTAAGTTTAACAACCCAAACAAGCATTCCATATGTATACTCTTCGTATGTTTATACACAAAAGGCATATGCGAGAGCCTTCCGAGAGCGTTGCCTAAAATCAAAACCTTGATACGTATTGCATGAGTCATGCCTCAAGGTGAGCATCAATAAAGTCTTTTAAAACTTTGCTTTTCACCACTCATTCATTATAGACCCTCAATAGAGTTCACTTCCACAGTTGGATCTAACTCCTACTCTAGTAGAGATGATAACATAGATTATGGTGTAGACTCTACAAGACGAGCTAGCAGAGATTTTAATGTATATATATATATGAACTATTATATGACATAAATCAGAGATGACATTTATAATAAATAATTGAATGTAATGAAAGCACATGTAGATGTGCATGCAGACACGTATCTATGTTCACACAATTAAGGACAAAACAGACCTTTTCTTTGGATTTAGTCTCAGCTAGCTGCAATTTCTGCTCAAGCACTTTCACTTGCTCTTCTAGAAGTATGACCACTTTGTTCTTAGCTTCAAGCTCTTCAAAGGAATGCTTCAAAGCAGCTTCTCTTTCAAAGTCCTTTTGAGAATCTGCTTCTCTCTGTTCAATTGGAAATAGAAATCAAGAACAGTTCTTCAACGACTTCACAAATCCAGTTTCTTTATCCAAAAAATTAAAAGATAAATGAAAGGCAGTAATATTTTCACAAGGCACATACCTGAGATTGTACTTTCTCCTCTTCAAGCGTAAGCTGCTCGGTCAAACTTTCTATCAATTTCTTTGAAGATGAAAGCTGTTCCAGTGTTTCATCCTTCTCAGCAACAGTTGTGCCTTGTAGATCCTTTAATTTGGACTCATATGTGGCCAGCTCCTGAGTAAGCTTTAAATTCAAGTCAGCCAGCCCTTCTCTCTCTTTCTCAAATTGACCTGACTTGTTTTGCATCTCTTCAATGATGCCTTCCAAATCCTTCAATTTCAATAGGGTTTGTTCAAGCTCAATTTTTCGAGTTTCTGCGACACCAACTGCTTCATGAGCCTGTTCTTCATACATTTTTACCTGGCTTTGGAGTGCATTTAGCTTAGCAGTCAAATCTCCAGCTTCTAAATCTCTCTGACTAAATTTCTGAATGGCTGCTTCTAACTCTCTTTCAGCCTCTGAAATCCGGGCTTCAGCTACCAAGAGAAGTTCAGATGCTTTTGTGTGCTGCTCTGTTAATTCAGTAATGGTATTCATGTGAGAAGCCAGTTGCTGAGCAGCAGCTTCCTTTTCAGCATAAGCAGAGTTCAGTAATTCTTGAAGCTCATTAACGTTGCTTTTGAGCTGTGTATTTGTCTCAATTAACAGTTCATTCTCTGAGAAAAACTGTGCAGCTTTATCTTCTGCCTCTGAAATCTTTCGTTTGAGTTCCTCATTAGTCATCTCGGAAGAGGCAAATTTCATTGAAATCTGATCCAATTCTTCCTTCACAAATGCCGATCTTTCAGCTGCTTCGGCTATTTGCTCCTCATAAGCCTTTACTTGATTTTCAAGAAGCTTTAGTTTCTCATAGAGTGACTTAGCCTCTGAATCTCTGGTGGTGAAATTTGCAGTTGCTTCTTGGAGTTTCAACTCTGTATCCCTGGTTAAAGATTCATGTAATGATTCAAGCTCCGAGTTTCTCACAGCAGTTTGCTCTAATACTGTACCTAGATGCTCTAGTTGCTCTTCAGCAGACTTCAGCTTCACCATAATCTCACTTTCCCTCATCCCAGCAGCTTTAAAGTCATTTTCAATGCTTCCCAATTTCTGTTGAGTCAGATCCAATTGATTCCGCAAAGCTTCAAGGAGGGTCTCAGTTTCAGCCAACTTCTCACTGGAATTTCTCACTGCATCTTCTAAATTTTTCTTCTCATCTGTTGTTTCATTTAAGCAACCAGTCAGTGCTCTTTCCTTTTCATTGGCCATTTGTAGCGCAATCTCAAGGTTTGATGCTTTTGATTGGAATGCTTCAAGTTCCAGCTTAACTTCTGAGATTTTATCAAAGTGTTCCTTGGATTCAGCTTCTGCATCTCCACATTTCTTTTCTAACATGCTTACTTGTTCTTCAAGCTCCTGGATTCTGGATTTCTCTTCTTCGAGCAACAGTTCCATCTCACTTAACTTTTTGCCCGCATCGTCTGCCTTTGAACGAGACATCTGGATTAAATCTTCTAGTTCGAGGCTGCGCTGATGTGTTGTATTGGCTCGGCCCTCATGTTCAGCACACTTTTCAGCAACATTCTTCAATCCAAGCTCCAGCTCGGAATTGCGGGAAGAGGACAGGTTCAAGGCAGACTCCAGATGAGTAATCTTATCCTCATATTCTTGTATTTGGCCACTTAGCTGTTTCTTTTCTTCCTCGATCTCTTGTAGTGTGGCACTTAGTTCAGAAATTTTTTCAGAAAACTCTCTCAGTTCTCTTTGAGCGTCATTGCTCTTAAGTTCCACCAGATTTATCTGCTGTTCGAGCTCAGCATTTCTCTGCTCTGCAGCTATAAAATGTGTCTCAAGCTCTCTCAGTTGCGATTTAGCTTCTTCTGCTGTTGCATTTGAAGCTTGTATTATATCTTCGAGTTCAAGATTCTTTTGTTGAGCAGTTGCTGCTGCATATCCAGATTCGTGATGGAGCTCTTCAAGAGATTTTAACTTCTGTTCCAGCTCAGCAATATTTAACAAAGCCTGAGACCGGAGAGAATCTGCTTTACAAAAGTTCTCATCAGACAATTGCAACTTCATCTCAAGATCATTGCATAACTCCTTCATCAAACCTGCATTACTGGTTAGCTCAGCCACAGCAGCTTCAAGAGATTCTTTTTCTTCGGTTACTTTGGACAGCTCCACCTGTATCATTGAAACCTGTGTTTCCTTTGAATTCACTTCCTCCTGCAACTTCAATTTGATTTCTTCCAACTCCGACTCCTTAACTTGAAAATCTTCTTTTGTTGAAGAGAACAATTTCTCTAGTGCTGAGATATCTTCCTTTAACTGACATTCGGAAGCCTTTCTCAAATCTACTTCTTGGGTCAGTTCTTGTACAAGAGCTTCCTTTGAAGCAAGCCTCTGCTCCATTTCCAGCACTTGTAATTTTGAAAGCTCCAACTCTCCTTGAACCATTGAAAGCTCGACTGTGGTACTCTTGAGTGATTCTTCAACCTTCTGGTTTTCAGCAATCTTCTTATAGAGGCTCTTGAGTTCTTCCTGCAGGGAAGCCATCTGATCTTCCATTTCTTTCGCACTTGACTTTGACAGTTCAAGCAATCTTTCAAACTCTAAGGCCCTTTTTGTCTCAGATTCAGCATACGAACCACTTTGCCTATGCAACTCCTCAAACTTGCTTGCTTCACCTGAGGAAATTTGCAACTCTTGTTCAAACTCCTGCATCTTCTTTCTAGAGCTTTCAAGCTCAAGGCTGAGACTTTCAAATGCTTCCTTCACGTTGACCAGCTCCTTGTGCTTTGCATCTTGAGCTTGCAATGCATCTTGCAAGCCAATAAGCTGTAGATTGTATCTCTCCTCAGCTTCCGTGATCTGTTCCTGCAGTTTCTTGTGATTAAGTTCGAGTTCTTCATAACTCTTTCCACTTTCCTCCAGCTTCTTCTTTGTAATCGAGACTTCATCCTTCAGCTGGGAATTCTCAGATTCAGAATGCTTTAGAGCTCCGGCTACTCTTTCCAATTCAAGCTCAAGTTCTTTCACCTTTTCTTGGGTTTCTAGAAATTCTCTGCTAACGGAGGAATTGCTTGAGCTCCGTTCAACAGAAGACTTCTCGTCCACAGCAGGTGGTGTTTCAGCATCATTACGTAAACCATCCTTCACATCTAAGGATTCCTTCTCTACTTTTATAAATTCTCCCTCAAAGGCAGTTTCTTCCTCTTCTTTCATACCTTCTTTTGAAAATTGGTTCAAGTTGCCATCGGTTATCTGCAATAAAATTTTCAACATCATATAGCAAAAATCATGAGAACTATCTGGTAGAACTTGTTCCTTCAAAACACAAGGGACAAAAAATACCATAAAAATCAATAAAAATAAGAAATGTGCCAGGTTACTACCGAAAATTTAGATTCTTGCTAATTGTATAACATATACGAAATAGAATGCAAACAGAAATTTCATACAGAAATCGCATCCAGAATGATGTGGCAATGACGTTATCAAATTATGATCCCAAGTGCTGGTTTTACCCTTTTTACTTGATGGAATCACAATTTTTTTTTTCAATCAGCTGATGGAATCACAATTAGGCACATCATTTTGTATAAGAAATTTTATTTTATTTCTTGATCAGCAACAAAAGGAATTTTATTAAAAGAAAAAAAGAAGGTACAATCAATAGGACAAGAAGTCCACCACAAAAACCCAAAGAACAAAGGAAAACAAAGCAACAGACCTACACATCACCAATGCTCTCCAATCTGATGAGATGAGATGAAAAGGAAAGGAATCCCTCTAAATGGAGAGGACACCGATACCCAAAATGAAGCCAAGCAGTAAATTATATCCCACAACAACTCAATATCCTCAAACATGTCTTCAAAATCCTAGCATTCTGTATATGAATTTTGTACAAACAGCCACAAACTCTTATCAAGAAAGGGGAGACTGGATTTTGTCACCCTATCAACACAACCAACTCCTGCAATTACTTGGCAATTAAAGATTCTTATCGCAACATGCTGTGTGGCATTTAAAACAAGTATTTTGTTTTCAGGTATGCTTGTTTAGTATGAACACATTAAAGATATATGGACATTATTTATTTATTTTCAATATTTTACAGCCATCATTGTGAGGGCTCTATTTTCTTCACAGCTCTCCAGTCTAGCAGGTGGATATTTTGTTTTCAAATGTCGTAGGACAGCACCTAAAATTATTCTAATTCCGCAATGAATATAAAAATGCCCCAAGTCATTGATTAGTACTCAGATTGATATGCTCTGCAGACATGGAAAATGATAATCCTCCTTTCATTAGAGTAGCTGAGACTATTGAGCCTACATCGAAGGAAGAGTTCTAAAAAAATATATTTGTCTGCATTTATGCACTATTAAGTTGCAATCAATGAAGTAGGCCAATAGTGATGATAATAAAGAATTACTCTTGTTATTTGACATTTCATCGTTGTGGCAAGAGGACAAAGGACTTCGCTATGTGGCAGCACAACATCCATCCATAAATATGGGCCACATTTTATCAAGGATAATTTTCATATTCCCTCACAGGCAAAGTGCTGCCAGCACAGCAGTTTTATTCCAGGACAAATGGAGAGAGAGAGAGAGAGAGAGAGAGAGAGAGTATATAGATACCTTAGTCGAATCAGCATTGCTGTCTGTCTTTTGAACTACATTCATCACCGGTGTCACTGAACTTGCTTGCAACTCTTCTTCCATACCTCAATGAATTGCACCTTATAGAATTTTCCTTGCAAATCTGACCAAAAACATCAATGCATAACTAGATCAAGCAGGAGAAAATTTAGGCTATTATAAGTGGCCAAAGGGATTTTCATTTTTATAAATGGGACAAGCTTAAAGATTAGATCGAACCTAATAATTTCAACTTTTCAAGATAGTTAATAATAATGATTAATGATGATGATGATGATGATAACAACAACAATAATAATATTAACAAAGTGAACTTCCTTATAATTGACATGATACTCTCCTTATCCAGATCTACTGGTTGGGAGTGATTTTAGTGTATAAACCAAATCAAACTAAGTCTTGTGTCCCACTAAACAACATGAATTATTTTTTGCTATTTTGGTCTATCAAGGGTTATATGCTCAGTTAAATTAACTAAAATCATACATATGTGAGTGGCAAATGCAACAATTCCTAAGGAAATCATGACAAAAGGAGCAGTATCAAAAGCAAATATTTGGTGTAACAGTGATACGTGTGGTTGTATCACCAATCAGTGATAAATCTCGCATTACGGTAGTAGAGATGACATACATGGGTTAGTGGAAGACAACGGGTGTCCGTCCAAATCCATTTGCGATTTTCTATTGATGGGTGATACCACATAGTGTCACCATCACATTCAATATTTGTCATACCTTTGGAAATGGCTTGTCTTTATCATAACCTACCCTACCTACCCAAGTGAACCCCACAGATGTGTTGTGTGTAGAAAATCATTAACTTGGGGCCTTAAATTTCTTGCTACACAAATTGATGTACAAAACATGTTGATTGGTTTGGCGACAACCTTCTTTTTGGGAATTTTCCCCTTTTTTAATCTTTTTTTTAATAATTTTTTAGATAACATAATTTTTTTAAAATTTAATCAGTTCTTAGATTCAGTCTAATAGTTCATAAAATTTAATATAGTAATGTTTCTTAAAAAATACACAGAGACGAAAAAACTACTTAAAATAGCCTAAAAAACCCAAATTAAAAGTCGTTTCCTAACAAGAATATGTGTTCACTTGATGTAAAGAGTTGCATCATAGTAGTCCAAGACAAAGTCATTATTTGTGCTTAAGAAAATTAAAACAATCTCAAAAAAGGAAAAAGAAAAAAGAAAATTCTTATGTTTCTATTTACTTTTGGATAGATAAGATATCATAACTTAGTTCTGGGGCAATCTTAGCAAAATTGACTTTTGTCATAGTAAGATACGACAATACGACGTATAAAAAAATTTAACTTGTGTTGGCACTGGCAAATAGCCCAAGTTCCAAAAGATGCACAAATTGATATTTGTTGTATATATAGACATATTTATAGTATGAAAAAGTTTATATACACAAAATTAAACCACAAAAGAAATATTAAGAACATAAATATTATGATGATAGAGCCCATCAAAGGTGTTCTCATTAGTTGTATCCTTATTAGTTTCACCAAAAGTGAATCCCATCTTGACCTACACATTTGTGACATTTTTATGTGGTTTGATTATATGTGCTAGACTTATCCTTACAGTATTTTTTAACAGATTGTGGGAGGAATTAGGAGGTGCTTGGGTGACGCCCACAAGGGATAGGCAGGCACTGGCCTTACATGTCATCTTCATTCTGTGCTCTATTTGGCTAGTTTGTCAAACCACATCAACAACAGCTTGGTCTTAGTTGTAGTGAGTCACTATAGTAATTTTGTTACAGTTACTGAAGGTTTTATTTTTAATACACTCGAATGTATAACAAAATTTTCAAACAAAACAAGCTTAAATACCCTTTTAGTAATATTGCTAAACTATTTCACATTTTTTTTATATAAACAGTATCATGTTCAATGTCAACGTACAATTTTTATATATTATTGGAGAAAAAATGGATTGAGACCCAATGAATTTATTTTGGACTAATCAAAATTTATTTATCTATTTATTGATTTTGTCAAAGTCTAGTTTACAACAAATCATATTATAATTCCTAGAAAAATGTCAGAATGACAAATCTGTGACAGGTAATTATTTTACAAATTTTCTAATTTCCATTTTTGTATGGCGTGATTTTCTTATTGCTTTGTGTTAAAGAATTCATTATGATGATGATGCATGAAATGAAGATGTTACTAAATTGATAGAGACCAAAATTAATCCGATAAAAAAGAAAATAAATGTCAAGTGGATCCATTTGAGTGGACAAATTGCATCCCCAAGGAGGAAATGAAAAGCAAAGAAACAGAGTGATTGTTGGGTATACCTCCTTATTGGAGTGTGGGACCCAATTGGTTTGTTAAAGAATTTTAATTTGGCTTGGTTTAAGTATAATATATTTTTATATATTATATTTGTGGAGACCTAATTCAATTTGGAAACAACTAAGGTTTTGATAAAAAAAACCCTAGATTCACAATATAATTTTTGGGGTATTGTTTTTTCCCAAGAAACACGTACGGCAGCAGCATATACTTTTTCTTGGTGAGATAGTGCTTTGGGTCTATTGATTTGTGGAGCAGAAACAAATTGATTTGGTGTATCTTTGTTTGGGTGCTTTGGTGAAGCTAATTTGGGTCATTATTTTAGATCTTCTTCAATTTTGGTTCTAAAGATTTTGATTCATCTATTTGGTGAGGTTTTTCCTCTTGTTGATTTGTGATTATTTGGAATTCACCTAAGGGTGGTTTTGTGAGACCATTAGTGTCTCGTTTGTAATCGTTTGGAACTTATTTGGTTGATAGTGAAATCGGATTTTGATCCCGTGGACGTACCTTACATTGAGGGAACCACGTAAAAATTCTTGTGTTGCCTTTGATTTAATTTTTCCGTATTAGTTTTTATTCCCATTGATTGATTTACTTGTGGGGAATCACATATTTTCCCTAACACCTAGTTGACTGGAGATCACAAGATCTAGGTTCAAAGGGACAATCGAGTTGTGAATGACTCAGAAAGATCACTAGGGAGTCTAACTTCTACCCATTTCTATGATGAAATAAGTGATGTCTGCTGCGTTTTAGGTTAAGTAAAATTTTAATGATTCTTATATCCAAGTAAACCTAGTAGAGTATAGCAGGATACTCTTCATAGGAATCACCTATGTGAGTGTGACCTGGGCCGGTTCTATGAGATTTGTGAAGGGCTACAATTCTCAAGAGCACTCATGAAAGACCAGGTTGTTTAGGGCTGAAATGAACACAATAGTGAGAACTAAACTGTGTCTGGGGATATACTATGTGAGTTCTATTATCTTGGTTTGCACAAACGACTGAACAGTTCAAGACATCATGTTCACTGGTTAACTAATAAATCCAATAGTGTCTCACAAGGGAAGGTTCAAAGTCAAAAGCTACCTATCCTTTGCAGAATATTTTCAATTTTTGTACTCTCTGTATTTAGATCATGTTGTTGCGTTTTCTCTCTGTCAAATGCCATTCATGTGGGGGATTGTTCAAAAAATGGTGTAATATAGGCTTTTTTGGGCCATCTTTGAGTCCAAAATTGAGTGGGCTCCAACCGTTTTTTGGGTTGTATCCGAAGAGGTGATGTGTTCCTTGCCGCGTGGCAAGTCACACGGTGAAGACGAAACATCAAGACCATTTATGAGTGAATGGGAAGTTGATGTCATTTTCGGGTCTAACATTAATTTTTTAGACAAAATTCATTTGAATTTTTTCAAAAAAAATTATTATGAGAATTTAATTTAAATCTAAATTCAAATTTTGATTTCCTAAGTGATTTCCTAAAATGTACCTCTTCCTTTATTGATTAAACTGTTCAAACAGTTTAATCAAAATATTCCAACAGTTTAAAAAACTGTTCCACTAACGAATACTTTTTCAAACAGTTTGAAAAATTGATCTAAGCAACGAACAGATCACTATTCAACAGTTATCTGTTTGAATAGTGCTTGTACCTGTTCAATTTAAATGTGCACCTATTCACTTCAATTTGGTACCTGTTCGGGTCAGTTTTTTGCCTATAAATTCAGACCATTTCCAACAGTCTTGGACACAGAAAATCTATCTAAATTTTATTTCTCTTGCTGTCCAGATTTTTCTATTTGCATTATTTCTTCATATTAGTTTTAGAGTAAATTTAAAGAGAGTATAGAACACAAGGTTCTAGTTCGCCGGACAAATTTGTTTGGAGTGCTACTACAAATTTGTGAAAATCATTGTATCTTGGGAGATAGACACCACTCAACCGTAAGTACCGTAGCGGGGCGAATCTGTTTTAAGGACAGAGTGTCACACACTCGACTTGGTCTTTGATTTTTAAATTCGGTTCGATAAATAAATTCGGTACGTTATTTATTTATTTATTTGATTTAGTTTCAATTTATTTTATTTACACAGAAGATTGTTTCAACACGTAATTCTATTTTTCATTTAGTTGTTGCAGTCTCTCTAATGAAATTCAATAACTCAATTCTTACTTCTTCTTGTACACTGCATGGTGTTTTAATGGCTTAAGTAAAGTGATTGTTTTTTAGTAGCTGTTTAGACCTGACTGCGTTTTATGTGTCCGATCTGGCCTTTATTACTGTCTGAAAATCACTATGATTATCATTAATATCCTTTTGCTATTGTTTATAAATATATTCTCGAACTTTTGTTAATATTATATTTTTTTGCATTTTGCGTTTCAATCTCAGAGATAATTTTGTATTTCCTTTTTATGCTAAGGCTTGTTCTTTACTATTTTTTGTTTTATTCCGATAAATCTTGAACAAGTTGGATAAAATTATCAGCTTGTGGATAAAATTATCTAAATTTGGATGGATTCCACCATTCAGAAAATAGAATAAAACAAAGTAGAAATACAAAAACATTACTAGATGAATTCACATTTTTGTTGCTTAGCCTGGTTTTTGAATCTTGTGAAGCATAACCTAGAAAGCGAAAATTCTATAGTCGGAGTTTTGAGTAAACAAAATAAAGAAAGGTTGAGATTATTCGAGCACTTTTAAAGCTATAAATCAGTTTTATTTTTTGTTTTGGCTATAAAAGATTAAAACTGGGTATATTTCATGGTGTTATAACATCATAACATTGAAATCAACCA